GGTCACGTGGCCACCCGCAGAGGGTTACCTTGGTCTTGCCCAGCTGCCAGTCGCTGTGCGAGGCGTCGTAGAGCTGCAGCAGGGCGGCGCACTTGCCGCGCACGTCCTCCGCCGGGATCAGGTTCCGCATCAGCGCTTTGTACCTGCAACACAGGGCATGGCAGGGTCAGCCAGGGCCGGGCCGCCCCCGTGGGAGGCCACCCCCCCGGACGGCACGAGTGGCTCAGCGCCCACTTGCCTTTGGCAGAAGTCCTGAAAAGGCTGCCGCACGGCGTAGCCGGCCTTGCGGATCCTCACCGTCTCCAACATGCCCGAGTATCGCAGCTGGTTGAGCACAACCGCCTGGTCAAACTGGCCTGGCATCTGGAACACAGGAAACAGACGTCAGGGAGGGGTGCTATGGAGGCTGCCAGCCGCCACACCGACCCCTTTGCTTCTCTTTTAACAACCCAACATAAATCCCGACTCACAGGAACCTGTGGGGTAGGACTGGCCCCTGTGGGCTTCCAAAGCTGTAAATCTGTATGGGAGCAGACAGCCTCATCTTTCTTCATCAGGGCTCAGGAATTCCTGACACCCCCCAGAACTACTCATGGCCGCCGAGTCGCTGCCAACTCAGAGACCCTCTAGGACACAGCAGAACTGCGCCCGTGAGTGTCTGAGACTGGAACTGGTAACAGGAGCAGAAAGCCTCATTTTTCTTCCAACACAAAAACCCAGCTGGTCCGTACATCACCACCTATCCAGCACCGAGACAACTCGGCACCACCCCAGGCCGGGCCCCGCTTCAACTAAGAGCCCACTGATTCATGCCAATTTGTCACATAGAGGAGACCCGATGGCACAGTGGTTACAGCACTTGGCTGCTCACGGAAAGGTTGGTGGTTCAAACCCTCCCACCACTGGGTGGGGGCAGCGGTGGCAGGCAGCTTCCATAAAGATTTCAGCCTTGGGAATTCTCTGGGGCAGTCTCTTCGAAAAGTTCAAGACATAGAATTAAAATATAAATGGTATTTCCCCACCAACTTCTTGAAGTCCCTTAGTAGGGTTCATATGAGCCAGAATCAACTCAGTAATGGGTTTGGGTTATATACTGATATCTACACACATCCCTTCCTTATTGTAACCTGATACGATGCATTTATTATAACATGTCTGTCGTGTGGTGTCTCAACCAGACACCGCAGCCTCTCAAGTGCCATGGCACAAGCACCACACCCTAATCACCCCTTAATACCGACCAGGGCTCAAATTTTTGAGTCTCTCCAAATAAACATAAACACACTACCATTTAAAAACCCGGTTTCCCCGAGGTATCCAACATGTCAAACGAACAACCGCTTCACTTACTGAAAAACGACAAACTCAAGTGAAGACATTATTGTAGCTAAAAGATAGTCAGCAACCATGTCAGAGACACAGATATGGAGACAGACAGACAGACAGACATCCCCCCAAATACAAATTGTTTCAAATTTCCACATGAGAATAAAGGAAGAGGGTCCCTTCAGAATTGTCAGTAGATAACTTGTCATGATAAAATATTTTTCTCCCTCAGGGGAAATATATATTAATCTAAGCTGACTCTCGGCCTGGCAGCCGCTTTGGGACCTGGCTTCGGGCACTTCCCCGTTTGTCCCGCTACAAGGCGAAGGTCTCTAGCTAGAAGGCTCCAGCCATGAAGATAGCAGAGCGTGGGCAACACCGCCCAGAACACAGGAACATCGCTGGTGGGTTGAGTCCACGTCGCTACAAAACCGGTCAGGGCTCCCCTCGGTCTCTTTTATCTCGTAAGAGCAGGCCCTTTCTGGGCTCAGAGTAGATTTGGATTTCCGTAACTTCGACCACGTCTGTCAGGAGGGCTAGCCAGCAAAGAGAAGACCGAAAAGTACAGACTGTACATCTGCCCCACGTCTGGTCAAGCTCTCCACTGACTGACAGCCCAAGAACAGCAGCACGGGCGCTCACCTATTAGAGACGGAGGGGTTAAATCAAAACACGGCTGCTTCGGAAACGTATTCTCTCATCTGCTCAGTTGCCAAACCAATGGGCACTGGTTTTTCAGCGGAAAGTGAGAAATTGAGTCCATTTTACAATTTTCTGGACAGTGACTGGGGTGGGGGGGAATCCAACCATTCAATCCCTTTCACTTAATTTACATTTTGTTCATGCACAAAGCTGGGGGGAAAGTAACTGAAAGAATAGGTCCGTTTAAAAGTACCTAATGCAAGGTCATGTTTGAAACCACCAGGCAGCCAGTCAGTCACTCCTTGGGAGAAAGAGGAGGTTTTCTTTCTACTTCTGTAAACAGTGAGTCTCAGAAACCCATGGGTCAGTTCTACCCGGTTCTATGGGGTCACTATGAGTCAACATCGACTGGCGGCAGTGAGTTTGGTTTGAAAGTCCTGCAAACTAAAAGCCATCATCAGCTTAAAGCGGGACCTTCAAGAACCAAGCCTACCCTGAGGTCACTAACCCCATACCAGGCATAAAGCCAAGATCTTCCACGTTTTCAAGACTAGCAAAAGTAAACTCAGGAAGGCTCGCGAAATCGCCCGCACACACAGATTCCAGCTGCCAGCATTGCCAAAGGGCTGGCTGCACTTGGATTTCATTTTTCCGACTAGTCAGGCCATCTCGATTCAGCGGTATTCTAACCCAGGGCAGCCAAATAGCCGAGGGCAGACGCCCAGAGAACCGGGGCGCCCAGGTTTTCGGTAAACCTTTTGAAATGCACTGAGGAGCGTGACAGAAGGGTGAAAATATGGAAACAGAAATCACAGCTCAGGGCGTATTTTTGAATTAAGAAACTGCAGGTTGGGAGGGGGTGGGAGACGACAATCCCTTGGGCAGGGACGGGATGACCAAGCGTCGGTGATGCTTATCTGAGATGGGGCAGGCTGTTGTGGATCGGACAAAGCCGGGTGCGGAGCCTGTGTGAACAGAAGCCGGACTCAACTTTGTGACCCCCACCGCCCGTGGAAGCTTCTAACGGAACCGTCTGATGCTCAAAGACTCCTAGTAAAATCCCTCTAAGCGTCTACTGTTCAGAACCCAGACTCTTCCCCGGCTCCCATCCCGTCTTTAATAAAGTCCGTACAGCGCCTCAGCTGAGCACCAGAGTTCTGGAACCACCCTCCGACAGGTCGCCCACACGGCCGCCCCACCCAAGAAGTCCGGCTGCACTCACCAGCTTCCTTCCGTCTGCTAGAGGCCACTCCAGGCTCCGGCAGACTGGTGAATCTGGCCAAACTCACATGGAAAACACCAGCCCCCCACCCGACCTTTCCCCCACAGCCTAAGACACCAGAACAATAATGAACACCATTCCTGGGCTTTAAGAGTGCCCGGTCCCCATGGAGACAGCGGCCCCTCACAGGCTAATTAGTGTGGTGTGGCCAGAGAATTTCATACAGCAGGGAGAGGGAGAGGGGGAGAGGAGTGAGCGCTCCGGCTGGCTCCTTGCGGGCTCCCCTGGAGATAGATGGTACCCCTGCTCCCCTGTCCTCATTTGACCAGGGGTAGGAGGGCCAGGGATGTCATCATGAGTGTGTGTTTGTGTGTGTGTGTGTGTGTGTGTACCACCTCTGTTCCCACGGGTGGTGGCTGTTTTTCAGGTTCAGCCTCCCTTTCCGGGGAATTTAATGTTCTGGGTGGTGGAGTTGGACCATGTCAGTAAGCTCTCAAGGGCGTCTCTGCCCTTTCCAGAACTTTACGTCCACCCTCCAGCATCCCCTGCTCCATGGCTCCCCAGCGCCCACAAAGACACCCAGAGGGATCACTGCACAGCTGCGCTGACCACAAAGAGGCTTGAGCGTGGACGTCTCGGCCCCAAACCAGGCAGCAACGACTCCGCAAAGGGATCTTGTTCCGCTCGCTGCATGTTTATTAAATGCCTACTGCGTGCAACTGAAGAACTGATGCGTTTGGATGATGGTGCTGCCGTCGACGACTGAAAGCCCCGTGGACCGCCGAAAGGACAAACAGCTCTGTCCCGGAAGGACAGCCAGAATGTGCCACAGAGGCAAAGATGGCGAGACTCTGTCATGCGTGCTTTGGACACGTGAGGAGTGACCGGTCCCTAGAGAAGGACACCATGCTTGGTAACGAGGCAGCAAGACAGGGGGGAAGACCTTGACACGACGGCTTGACACAGTGGCTGCAACAAGGGGCCCGGGCCCAGCAGTGAGGCTGGTGCGGGGCTGGGTGCTTCTTGACCATCACCTTCACCTCCACCCGACTGAACTTAAGCACTAGCCAGTCCACTTGATCTTGCCTAACCTTACACGGCCGCTTTACTCTCCTGGGTTTGCTTTATTGCCATACCCTGACCCTATTCAACTCAAACACAGCCAACCATAACTTGGGAGGGACACACACACACACACACACACACACACACACACACCCCCTCCCCACGTGTTTAGCAGAAGCCAACCATGTGACCCGAGAAGGCCACGTCTCCCTCCTGCGGAGCAGTGGGTGGGTTCCAGGGCTGACCTTGTGGTTAGAGGCCTAACTCGTAACCTCACTACCCCACCAGGGCTCATCCCAAGGACACGCTTCTTGCTCTGAACTCCTGGCTTGACAGAGCTGCCGCTTGCTAACCACGAGGTAGGGAGCTAGGAACCACCAAATGCTCCACTGGAGAAAGACAAGGCTTTCTACTCCTATAAAGAGCCACAGAAACCCACAGGGGTAGTCTGCCCTGTCCTGTAGGGTTGCCATGAGTGGGCATCGGCTCAATGGCAGCGAGGTGGGTTGAGTGGGCAGACAATCTTGCTGAGGCACAGCTGTGACTCAATTGTGCCCCTGCAGACAGACTTCCAGCAGCTGCCAGATTCCGATGGAAGCTTCAAGTTTAACCCTCAAAGGTCCTACTAGATGCCTCAAACCTCCCTTCACTCAGCACGCCTCTGTGAGTCAAGCAGTTGGTTCCGACAGACTGGGGCCACTGCACAGGTAACAGCATGCTGCCCAGCCCCTGCTGTGCAGTGCACTGCTGTGTTAGGCCATCTCAGGGAGAGGCACATCTCCACCCCCCAGCTGCCAGCTGGGCGTGCCGTGGGGGCCTGAAGTGGCTGCCACAGCGGGAGCTTCACCATCGGAATGACCCGTGTCAGCAGCATCACCACCCACGACGGGCAGGTTGCTTCAGGGCTTCCAGCCTGTGACAGACTAGGAAAAAAGACCCGGCAACCTCATCCGGAATTTAGCTACGGAAAACCCCGTGGATCGCAGAACACGGCTGAGACTTGGACCTGCTAACCATGGATGCATCCTGTGGATGCATCGCCAGAGGGCATCCGTTTGGTTAAGTACAGGACGCAGAGAAGGCTCGTACGGTGCATGTGGTGATGGTT